TCAGAAAAAAAAAACTAAGGTTTTTGTTTTTGTTTTTATCTTTTTAACACGAAACCATTTAGTGGATGGCTAAGACAGGGACTTCAATAGTGTCTCCACAGTCATATAGTATCAGTTTCATATCAGATATTAATGCTGTTAAGACTGCCAAAGTTGATGATTAAGCTACCATCAGTGAGGCACGTTTTGATTGTTTTACCAGCAGCAGATATCAACTTGTGCTAAGTAAAAATGTGTGCGAAGTCTATTCTCAGAACTAGTCCCCTCCCCACCATGCACCTAACAAAGAAGATAAGCAGAACATTTTTAAATGATCTAGGGTAATGTCAGCATAGTTTCTCACCCAAGTAACCCTTAAGTTCCTCGAGTCCTTAGAAAAAGAGACTTAATCTTGTATTGGGAGGCACAATATAAAGTAGATCTAAAGAGGAGTTCCCTCAAAAATTTTGGGTTAAGGACAAAATATTTAAATCTATACCTTTGTATACCATTCAAGCTCTGCTTTAAGAAAATCTAATACATAAAATCTAGACTTACGTAACAAATAAGTCAGAGAATTATTATGCGTATTATCAAAGGATTATTTATCTTATGAAAGACTTTATCACAGAATTCCTTTAAATAGCTGCTTTTCACATACATTTTGGTATTTTAAAGATAATTTTCTATTTGGCAAATGAGCCACCATGTGCCTTGGGACAAGCCTCAGTTTCCTCATCTACATAATCAAGATTATTTTAACCATGCTATTTGCCTCACTCAGTTTTCATGATTATCAAACAAGATAATTTATATAAAGTTACTTTGAAAATTATATATACATATTATTACTGCCATTTTTGTTAAAAAAGAATCTGGGAGAAATTTTTCAGAATTGTATTATTATTACTAAATATGTACTTTTTTTACATTTTAATGACTTTAAATAAATGAAAATTTTAGATGACATATTTATATATAAAAATCAAATCTTTCCTTGCCTCATTATTTATTTTTCCCATATTTTTAGTTCTGCAGTTAGTGCACATTATAATTTCCATAGTGTTCATACCTGGATTATGAGAGGCTCCAATAGTTTCTCTACAGTGAATGTTTGCACCTGTAGATCCTGTGGGTTAATATTCAGTGTGATTGGTGTTTCAGTTGACATGCTGCCTATGTACAAACACAAAAAAAATGCTTATTAATAAAGAAAAATATTTTCTAAAGAAAACAATTCATGAAAATCATGGAGTAGGTAAGATTTGTATTAGGGCACCTGTTCCTGGTATCAGTGAAAGTCCTCAGAGAAACAGGGTGCCAAATCCACCATCAGAGAAAGAAGATATTTCCCAACTGTGCACTGAAATCATGCAGTCTGGGCTTAGGTTCTCTAACAAATTAATCTACACTAGTATGTTCATGACTATATTAATAACTCATCCCAGGTGGGTTCACATTTGATCAGTAGTCTTATGTGAACAGAATGGTGAGACATATCTTACAGCATACAAGTCATGACTTCTGTGAAATCATAGAACTGAAACAGCCCACACCCATATTTTACCTGTTCCTGTTAATGATGACTTAGATGGGGAGCCAGGTAAAACTTTGGAAGGCATGTGATATGTCTTTACTTGTTTTGGAGACTGTTTATTTGAGAGTTTTCATTGGAGAAGAAGATTAGTGGCAATATACTTTCTTGCACAGAAATTAATATAAATTTGCATAGTTGGTATAAAAAGAGAGAAGCCCTTGAGAAGGCCTTGATGTATGGATAAAACAAAGTAAGAAAAAAAAACACAGAAAGAATTACAAGCCATTCTCTAAAGTATTAACATAATACTTAAGAATCAATTCAGTAAGATTTTTGCATTAGAACACACACACACACACACACACACACACACACATATATATATATATATATATCAAATGACCATATGTGAAATATCAAACACATTCAGATTAACATTCAAAAATTCTAGCCATGTTTTCAAATACCTATATTATTTATTCATGTACTAAAACCTACAGTAAATGTTGAGGGTTTTATATAAAACCCACTAGCTTGTTGATTGCATAGATAGAGTACACTTTCTGAAATTATCCCATTTCTAGATAGTTCTTTTATTAAATATAACCCAAATGGACTGCTTACAGCCCCTTAACCCCTTCAAGATTGTCAAGTGTGCCCTTGTTCCCAGTCTATGCTTAATTCTATCACAAGCCATTTATAAAAAGTGACTATAATTCTTTTACTTTTTAAAAGTATTTTGCCTTGAAAAAAGAATTACTTAAATTGTATTAAGTGAAAAGATATTATTTGACTTTCTCCACAAATGAAAGTTTTAAATTATTGCTATTATAATATACCAACTTATATGATATATATATAAAGTCACAAAGCCCTACAATTTAGCCCTTTTCTACCTTGCTTTTCTCTCCTTTTCACTCCTTTTTACTTCTGTTCTAAACGTAGAAACATGGTCTCTTTTTTAGCTATTCAGTAGAAATGTAGGAGATGTGTTTCAAGAAAGGCTCCAAACACTATTGCCAAATGGTTTCTCTCAAATGCATTTCTAGAACAGAAATATATTGTTTTGGTTTGGTTTGGCTTTGGGTTTGGCTTTATTTTTCAATCATTTCACCTACCAATTTGATTTCCTCTAACACAGACAAATCTATTAATAAATTTTTCTAGAAGGAGTGCTTTTTAGCAAAGAGATAAAAGACAAACCTAAGTTAGCCAAAGTATCTTCTAAGTCAGTGTTCATGTCTTTAATACATATTAAGTAAAGAAAGTATTTCAGAAGTTCCTTTTTCCATGGTAAAAATTATAAACTAATAAATCAGTAAGTCCTTAAAGAAGCCTAACTATACATAATTATTATTCTTTGAATAAATGCCATTTCTTATAAAAATCTTCCTAATTTTTTGTATCTGATCTATTCAGTATTCCTGACTGACTGGAGATTAGGGCAACAAAAGGTAGAAAACTGCAGAATTTTGCAAATGCAGTTGAAGCAAGGTCAATTTCTAACAAATTGTGATTATAGCAATACCACAATATGAATCCAAAACAAAAATCCCACTGGTTTGTGGTATTACATTCCAAGGTATTTGCATTTAATAATATAAAGCCTTAGGAATTAGGGAATACCTCCCAAATAATTCAAGAATACCTCCTACAACAGCCTTCATTTCAGCAATGTACTGGGCTTAGATGAATACAAATGATAAGAAGCTCACTATACCATTAGATACTGGTTCAGTTGAAATCTGCCACTCTTTAACTTTTATCCAATAGAGATAGTTTTATAAAGTGGGAAAAATATACTTTATACAGTGAGAAAAGTACAGGTTTGGAGACAGACTATAATAAAACCCCAGTTTTCAGAATCAAAAGACAGAGAACAAATCTCTTGACAATAGTAATAGATGTCTTCAGGGGTAGACCCCAAGGCAGGGCAAACCCACCTACATGGATCCTTCCCTTCTCCCCAAACTATCTTTGTCCACATGCCTCAATTTTCTTCAATCCATTTTATTCCCTGCTTGAAACCCAAACTTACATCAATTTTAAATTCATTTAGTTTAACCCACATTTCATTTTTAAATGCAGTTAACTCCAAGAGGTCATGGGGTACACACATTCAGTCACACATTAGTATGAACCAGCTTACTGCTCTCTATCTGATACCCTGTGCATGTCTCTATTATAGCACGCACCACACTGTGTTCCAGTCGTGCCCTGGCAGCAAAGGAGAGGGATGTTAGATCAGAGAGATGTGCAGAGAGGCCAGTGGAAAACTTTACCCATTTCCAAAATTTGTCTACGCGTGGCCATTCTCTCACAAATATTAAAGAGAAAACTTTTGCCATCTACTCCTCCTCCCTATGGTAATATATGACCACCGTCTTAGTGATCATGTGGAGCTAAGTCTCCTCTTAGTAAAACTAATTCTTCTAAATAAGTTGACATTTTCTTCTGCGATGGCTTGAAAACCTAACCATCTATAATATGATTCCTGTAGAAAAGTCCCTAATAACAAATTTTTTTTAACTTGTTTAAATTTTTTTATTTCTGCATATTATGGGGGTACAAATGTTCAGGTTATGTATGTTGCCCTCCCCCCCTCCACCCCCCATGAGTCAGAGCTTAAAGCATGTCCATCCCCCACATGGTGCACATCGCACTCATTATCTATATATATACCCATCCCCTCCGCCCCCTTCCCATCTGCCTGACGCCCGATAAATGTTATTCCTGTGTGTGCACTTAGGTTTTGAACAGTAGAACCAGTCTGATGGTGAGTATATGTAGTGCTTATTTTTCCATTCTTGGGATACTTCACTTAGTAGAATGGGTTCCAGCTCTATCCAGGACTATACAAGACATGCTATATCACCATTGTTTCTTACAGCTGAAAAGCACTCCGTGGTATACATATACCACACTTTATTAATCCACTCATGTATTGCTGGGCACTTGGGTTGTTTCCACATTTTTGCAATTGTGAATTGTGCTGCTATAAACATTCAAGTGTAGATGTGTTTTTTATAGAATGTCTTTTGTTCTTTTGGGTAGATGCCCAGTAATGGGATTGCTGGATCAAATGGTAGATCAGCTTGTATCTTTTTAAGGTACCTCCATATTGCTTTCCACAGAGGTTGCACTAGTTTGCAGTCCCACCAGCAGTGTATGAGTGTTCCTATCTCTCCGCATCCACGCTAACATTATTGTCTTGAGACTTTTTGATAAAGGCCATTCTCACTGGAGATAAGTGATATCTCATTGTGGTTTTGATTTGCATTTCCCTGATGATTAGAGATGTTGAGCATTTT